CCTGATGGAAAGAGAATCAAAGGAAACATGACACAAGTCATGAGTCGACAAACACGCTCACCATTTACACAGTGGCCGCAAGTCATGCAACATACATCACCACAGCTCCTTCTCACTGACTGACTGATGTCTTTCCATGTTTACACAACCAATAAGTACCCATACTGGGTTTTGCATTTCCCAGTTCAATAATACTGTCTGTTTTGCTACCAGCAGTGATTTAGTATCGACGACGGGTGTCAACCAACCACATCCTCTCATAACGTCTTCACATCAGGGCAAAGCCGTAACACGTGCCCATTTCTGATAGATTCTCTCTAAACTGCATGGTGTTAGAAAACCTCAATACAAATAATAGTTATGTTAGTAAAGATTCATTAAAAATGTTTAAAATGTAGTGCACACAAACTAAATAATGCACGACAAAGTAATGTGAAGATAAATGCCTTTCAATTTGTACTGTCAGAGACCAAACACACTTTTGATAGAAGTCACTGTCCAACTCATTTTCTGAGATGGCTAGTACCAAGCACATGTTAGTAGAAGACCTGAACTCAAAGCTAACTTGTACATAGCAGGGTGAAAAAACTATTGCAGTGTTGTGTGTTAACATGCATTCTGCTGCTACATCCCATGTCTGCATGTGTACAGTATGTGGGGGCCGATGCAGAGTGTTGAGCCTGAGTTTAATTCCCCAGTGCAGTCTGTGCTTACATGGGCATAGTGCAGCTCTCCTCCGCATCTATTAAAAAACCACACACACACACACACACACACACACACACACACAGAGCAGAATCCAGGGAGGCTTTTGAAGGCCCCTACATCCTTAAATGGAAAACACACACTGCTCAAGGGGAAAGCCAAGGTGCCAATACAGCATGTGCAAACATACAAACACACACCCTGCAGCTCTGAGGGTTTCTTACACCGCCATGTGTCCGCTGGTCGGTCTGCGCCTCTGACCGGGAACAGGAGCGCCGGTCTGACTGCGAGGTGAAGTGGATACTGCGAGATAAATCTGAGATTCACTCCAACCTTGATGTTCTTTAGCACATTTTTAGATTAAAGTAAAATGTGACAACCTCTGTAGGGGGACAGGGTGGTCACAGTGGAGAAACACTGATGACAATTTAAGGCTAGGGACGCACCAGTGGAACATTTCAGATCAAGTACGAGTACTCACCGATACCGAGTACTTTTCAATTACACTCTATACTGTTGGTTTTGTTGTGTCGACGTCTGTGTAAAACATGATCTTGTGTCTGTGTCAGACAGGGAGGGACGGGCATTCACACACACACAAACAGAGAAGCCGAGCTTGCAGTTGGTTTTACTTTTGTCGTCGTCGCTCATCTTAAAAAAATTCCCGAACGGCAGAAATGACTTCTCTACTGCCCAACAACCAGCTCAGCCAGCGTGCGGCTGATGTAATGCTGCCATTAACTGATAATGGTGGGACAACTTTTAGGAGTAGTGTACTCGAGAGAGGTATCGGACCCGACACTGGCGTTGGCACATCCCTATTTAGGACTACACATTGAAGATTAAATGGAATGACCAACACACATCTGAGATGTTCAAGCTCTCATCTGCCAGGACCCATCACAGCCGGTGCTGCAGTACTCGGGACTTGTTCTGAACTCCACTCTTAATATTCAGGACTCGTGAACAACTCGAGCATCAACTGGATTCAGACAAAGAAGCTGAAGACGGAGACCGACTTTTGGGAATAGGCCATAGTAATGTGACATGGGATACTGATATCAAAACCTGATCGCCTGCGCCATGCTGTGCCTGGAACACTTTCACCAAACTACACATTCTGTTCACGTCTAAGCCGTGTGGGTGTGCACTTACAAGTGCGCTTGTTTGGATACTGTGTCACACACAGCAAGTCAACTCCTTTTAAAACGCAGAGAGCGGCGTCAGTCGTGTTTAATGTAGACTTTGATGACTAACTTGGGTAACGTGCACTCGACGTGGAATCGAGGTTTACTGGGGACAGTTTTTTTTTTTCCTCAAGTAAAAACAGCCAAACATTTGATTGTTGCAGCTGTTTTTCTGGTCTTACACAAGTACTGTTCATTTAATATGTCTGTGTTTCAGACTGTTGATTGGCTTAAACAAGCAAAGTGACAACGTCTCCTTGAGCTGCACTGGCGTTTTTCACCGTTTCTAGACCAAACAATTAACCAGTTAATCAAGAAAATAACTGTGGACCTTGTGAAAAAATATTCTGGCTTCATACTATATCCTAGACTAATAATCAGCTTCCACAAGTGTAAAAGTACATTAGCATAGATCGTATCACTGAAACACTGATACTGATCTCAGTCAAATCAGCGACACCTTAGTGAAGGAGACCTGTCTGCTAGTCTGACGAAGACACCGACTCATTAGGGTTGAAGAATCACATGCAGGAACAGTACACTTCAACAAATCTGATGACACACAACATACATGTCAGCATGAATCTCAGGTTTCCAGATTTCTTCATTTATTTCTAAGTACTCATGTTTAACCAGGTATCATGATTCGACCTGAGGCGTATTTGCCACATCCAGCCTTCGCTTTAGGTACCTGGGTGGGATGAGTCAAAGCCTGTTAGCAGGAAGCTACAGGTAAGGAGATTATCTGTCATGACATTGTCCATAGAAACACACACAGACAGGAAAGAGATCAGCAACATGATCAGTGATCCGCCCTCAGGGGAATGTTTCACCTCTGACTGTGCAGTGTGTGTCTGTAGGGAGGTCAGCAGCTAAACCTAGTGACCGATAAAGGTAGGAACCTAGAGGTAAACTCAAAGGATTAAAAACAAAAACAAGTGGAGATATTGTTTGCTCATGAGGCTGATAAAGGCAGGAAAGCTAGTCATTTTGAACAGGCAAGATAAAGGGCAGCTAAAGGCAGATCTCATGTTGTGGTCAGAAACACAGCGGGTTGTGTTTTTTGTGGAACTCGCAGTTCACAGGGATGATGCTGTAGAAACAGTCTATGAAAAGAAAAAAACAGGTGGGTATGGCGGCAGAGGAGCGTGGCTGGAGAGCTAAGGTCTTCTTTGGCACATTTAATTGTTAACCATCTTTTCATAGTGGAAAAAACGTTTTGATCATCAAGGGACAAATTCTCCACTCAAAACCATGATAATGAAAGTGTTTGTGTCTGGAATCGCTGCTGGTTCATGTTCAGTAAACTCTTCCCACTTGAGGCTCAAACGATTCCTCAGAAACAGTTTTACAGTTACACAAACATTTCATCAAGCTGTGCTCAATGTGCTGTATGGCGCCGAAAGAAGTAAGCACAAGTCTAAGTGCTCAGAAAGGAAGCTGCATTATATGCGAGCAGGGCGAAACTAACCTGCAGTGATCCACTGCAACAGTGTGCATGTGTGTCCGATTCGGGCTGTGTAATGGCCAGGACAGAGCGAGTTAAGAGGAACTGGGGGGCTGAAGAGTGACCATAATCCAAAACAAACAGGACAGCACAGCAGTGCTGCAACACAATGATGTCATGGTCCTATTTCAGAGCACAGTAAACTGTCCCAGTGAAGACGGAAGACCAACACTGGACTAAAACAAGAGCTGAGGACAGAGGAACTGGGTATATACACGACTCCACTGAGATCTTCTCCACACAGCATCCTGTGTGGCACTGTGTGTTCATGTTCACTTGATCACGCAGCATTTGGATGCCGAGTCACACTAGAAACAAGGCGGCTGTGGCTCAGGAGGTAGAGCGGGTCGTCTCCTAACCGGAGGATTAGTGGTTCGATTCCCAGCTTGTCCAGTCAACATGTCCAAGTGTCCTTGAGCAAGACACTGAACCCCCAGTTGCTCCCGGTGATGTCACTGGTGTGTGAGTGTTTACTTGTATAGCCTGGTGAATGGCCAAGTAGTGTGAAAGCACTTGTATAGCGCTTTACAGCACGCTCCAAGTATAAGACCATTTACCAAACCATCACAGGACAAGCAACTGTTCCTTCACTTTTGCTTTGTCCTAATAAACATCATCACATGTAATAATGTCCACAACGAAGTACATGACGAAATGTTACCTAAACCACCATATGATGACCATATGGTCTCCCTAGCCCCTTACACGCTGCCTTTCCAGGGCGGGATTGGTGTACATTTATTCCATCTAGTTCTCTGTGTGTAAGGCGTAAAGCCGGAATGGCGGGCCATTTTCATTCTGTCCCTGGTCCACCTTGGGAGGTAGTACCAGAGGTGAAACAAAGGGGAAATGATCTCTGTGTAGAAAGGGCGAGCTGGCAGTCCAGGACCAAGTGCTACATTTTAATGATGCAATATGTACACGACACTGTCACCAGCATCTCAAGTCTGCACACCTCTGTACCCCAAACTGTTCCCGGATTCTTTCTAACTTACAGGTCAAAGCATTCCGAATGTCACGAACTCGTTGACTGCAGTTGCTACTCATGACATTCGGACACATAGCGAGAAACATGCTAACCAGTTTTGTGCAAAGTGAAATAAATGCTTGAAGAGCCAACAAAGCTACATCCGCACTTATCTCTCCCACCATTGTTGTTTTGGCTTGTAGACTAGTGGCGCAAGATTTACGTCAAAAGACGTCACATCTCGCCTCTGGTGCGGAATGTCAGCCTGCTGTCTGAATTCACAGGCCAGCTCGTGATTATACTGCCCTTAGCTTGATCTGTATGAACAGCACAAGGGCAGGATATTAGCGATCCTTTGCAGTAGTGCGGGGTCCCAGTGCAACAACGACCTTCGTTCTCTGGCTGATTTGTGGTCCCAGTGCAACGACCTTCGTTCTCTGGCTGATTTGTCAAAACTAACCCTGATAGTTTGAGTTTAGTCTGTAAGTGTGGGAAACCTTTTATTACACACCTCTGCAGCACTCCTTTGTTTTGCACCGTCACACTCCGCTGCATCCACAGTCTGTGAATAGATGACATCACCATGCAA